CAACGGGATAAACGAACCCGGATAGGAAAAACGAGAAGATTAAGTAGGCGCTGAATTGGGTCCTCTCGGCAATCGACCCACTCGTGATGCCCGCAACAGCAATCGCAAAAGCCCATTGGTATAGAAAGAAGCTATAGTCATAGGAGCTTGTGGGAATATCGATTAGAGCAAAATGTGCTGTACCGATAAACGGGTTCTTGTTCGGGCCTTCGCCAAAGGCAAAGGCGAAACCGAACAGGAAATAAGATAGGCTTCCAACAACAGCATCGACTACATTTGTCAGCATGATGTTCATTGCGTTTTTGGCCCGAACAGAGCCCGCGCAAAGCATGGCGAACCCGAGTTGCATGACAAAGACTAGGTAAGCTGAAAATAGAAGATAAATGGCATTGATGGAATCTGTGACATTAGATTCCCATGAGGATTCTTCCATAGTCTTTGGAGAAAGATTGGGAATAATTTTGTGGTAAGATTTGTGAGGATGTTATATGGTAAAGATTGTTCAGATGAGATATTTAATGTGACACTTGTAGTTTAGCTCAAGTTGCAAAAATGGGATGGTCCAGTGCTAGTTGTAGACAGCCTAAGCAATATGAATCAGTTATTTTCCTATAGATAAGTTGATAGTTAGGTTGCAATGAGCAAGTGTAACTCACAAATTATAGTCTGATTCATGCTTATATTTAGAGATGAGATTGAGTTGCAATCGACAAACGTTCGAGTACAATCGTTTGGCTATTAGTCTCCGAAACTTCTGGCCAGATGGAATCAGAATATTATAACTTGTGCACTTGGGTAAAATGCTCATAATGTCAATGAATATCATCCCATGTACAGGCAGAAAGCATTTCAACTGAAGTGATGCAAAATGCCTATCATTAACAATACTTCTGAAGAAAAAAAAAAAAGGGGGTTTTAAGTTTTAACCATCACCAAATATTAACATATACAACAAACAGCATTGATCTTCATGTCGCAGCGAACACACAGAATAGTACATGTTAATTATCAGCTAATAGCAAACAAATTTACTCGCCTTTCGTCTAAGTCCTCTTTCACGTTTCTTTATCTTTCCCCAGCTCCCCAAATGCTGCTTCAGGATGGAGCTCATCGATTTCTTGAACCTATCCGAAGAACATCTTCTAGATTTCGAGCTAGCTTTCTTTCCCGCCTTTTTCTTCCTCCTCGACGATGATCCTGTTTCAAGGAAACCTTCCCCAACTTTTTTCCATTCGGGAGCTGAACTTTTTCCTCCTGAATGATGCTCCTTCCGAGACCCGAAGGACAAACTAGCAATTTCTTTCTCTTTTTTAGCATTTTCAAAAACAACAATTTTCGCAAACCAGGAGAGGAGGCAGTTGTGGGTCCCACCAGAGGAAATCGAGACCAAAATATTTGCAGCGTTTTTATCGAGTTCTGTTATTAGCTGTTCTCCATTTTCTTGGTTGGATAAAACTGAAGAAGTTCCTTTTAGCTGAGTCTGATGATCTTCGGACATAATGCATTTGCCTCTCGGAGGAAGAGTCTCCTGGTTTTCAGGGCTCACGGGCCCCTGTACGGTCCTATCACTCGATGGCTCGGTTGGAGCAAATTCGGAGTTCAAGTCAAAATCGAGCTTTTCCATGATCTCGTCTGAAGTTCCCTTCTTTACATTTGAGACGTGATCAGAACTCACTGTCTCAGGAATAAAACCACCGACGGGCAAAGAATTCAAATCGATGATCATCACCGGTGAATTTCTTCCATCTGAGCTACTGTTAGAGTTATGAAATCCAGAATCATCATCTAAAGGTTGGTTTAGATCGATGAAAAGGTATTTTTTCTCGTCCAATATTCTCGGATTATTATTATGGATTTCGGAACGAATTTCGGTAGCTCGGAAAAGATTCCTCTCACCAAACCGAATCCTTTTATCATCATCATCATCATGACAGGCGCCAGCTGTACGATCGATATCGAAGAAGGTTGTGTTCCCATTTCGGTTACTTTCAAAAGATGGAAATGGAAACTTTATGTCACTGTAACTTCCTTTTCTTATAAAGATTCCATCGTCGGCTGCTGACGTTGCATGAGAAAGAGAATGATTCGACTCGGAAGTTTTTTGTGAAGGTAAACTCTCTTGAAGGACATTTTTGGCCCTCATCTGATCCATCAGCTCCCTTTGTTTTTGGTATAGCCGATGTAGTTCGTGGACCTGAGAGAATAAACAAACAAACAAACAAACAAAAAGTGATTAATTTCCAAGAAAAAAAAAAAAGTGCTTTAGACATACGGCATTTTCGTGCACACTATATTAAGTGCTTTATAACCTGCGAACACTCCCTAAATACCATGTCAATCTTGCAGATACTACACAAAAGTCTAGCCAAATTTTTCAACCAGCCAAATCAATCGTCTTGAAGAATTTGAGATAACCGCATATCATTTTTACAAGCACCGCCTTTTATTTTTGTATATTTACCCAAAATATACATATGTCCCTCAAGATGCAATTTTTTTAAAGTAGAGACAATGGCATTGGGGCAACTTAAGTTTTGAAAATGCAATCAGCTTTAGTTTCCCTTTTTCTTCTTTTCTTTTTTATCCCTAGTTTGGTTTAACAAGTAATGATATTAAGCATTGCATATCCTCCAAATAGAAAATCAAGAAAAGGGAACCAAAAAATGAAAAAACGACACCAGTTCACAAAACAGTCAGCCGAGAAAGTACCTGATGTCTAAATGTGGCGTCATGATTCTGAATAATCTGCCTCAGCACATTCTTATCATGATCCATGTTAAATGGCTGCAAAGGAACATTGTTATAGCCATTTTCTTCTCCATAATTAGTATATCCATTGAATAGGTGCCACATAACGCCACTCGAGCCTACACTATGATCCCTCTCATGGTATACAGGGATGTAGCTTGTACACTGCATTTTCATCAACTCTCACCTAAAAAAAAAAAAGGATTCAAGAATTACAGTATAATGAAACCTAAAAAAAAAATCGCAAATTGCACCTCACGAAGAACAAGAAATTCTAAGACAACTTGAAACCACTCACAAATCCTTTTTGATTATCTTTACTGAACCATCTAAATCCTTAAAAAACCCGAAGCCTCCCCAAAAGCAGCTACTAAGATCAATAGGTCATATATAAAAGAAGTTAAGACCAAATTTCTTACATATTTGTCAAAACATTCACATAATATCTTCACAAAGAAAAGAAATATACATGGATCACACAGAACAATGTCCACAAAATACCTTTCTTCAGCTGATTAGATGAAATTGATATTAATTCTAGCCCGACAGCATTAAATAAGTTTCGAAAAACGAAGAATCAATATAATTCCTTATAATGATCGATTATTCGGCGAAATCCCCATCAAGATCATACTGTAACAGGATAAGAAGATACAAATCACAAGACCAATATTCTGCAATAAAAAAAAGGTATGAAAACAGAAGCTACCATTAAATAAACAGAAATTGGAAAGGAGAAAATTATACATTTCTAAAAGTCATAACCGAAAGGGTAAAAGAAAGAGCAGTTCATCTCACAATGCAAGGTTCATAACTTCATATCACCTAACCATCATACCAGAATCCAAATCTCAAACACTAAACACATCAAGAAAGAAAAAAAGGAAATCACACCAAAAAAAAAAGACTCCAACTTTTACACAATCACGCGCATAAGCGGTGGACATATTAATTCTCTGCCCGCCGTGGGTAGGGGAGCAGATCCGCATATTGAAATAACAACAAAACATTCGAACCCATCAATGAATGTAACTTCAAAAATCATGAAAAGGGTTCTAAAATTTTACCTGAGAGACGAACAAGAAATTAA